ATGTCTTAACTAATACAAGAGCTTAACTAACTTTTATATAGAATTTTAAAGGCCAGGCCAAGTAAATTTCTTTAATCTAACCGCTGATAAGAATATCCCAGCTCTACAGTTGAGTTAAAAGCAGCAATAAAAAAAAATATAAAATAAAAGAGAATGTTTACTCAGCTCTATTCAAATCTTATCCCAAATTCAAGAGCGTCACGAGTAGCGCGAGATATTTGAAATATCACGAGCTTTTTTTTTATAAGGCATAATCTTATCTGAATATATTTCTTAGGTAAGTCAGGAACTCTCTTCTGAGCACAAAAAATAATAAGCTTTATTCAAATCTTATCCTCGTATAAGCAAATAATTTAATAGCGTCACGAGTGGAGCAAGATTCTAAAATATATCACGAGGTGTTTTTTTATAAAGCCCAATCTTATCTGAATGCTACACTCATTTTGTGACAGCCAGAGAGTAAATATTTTGTAGGTGTGTTAGAAACTCTTTTTCTGAACACAAATATAGTATTGGGTGCTATCACACAACCATCTGCAATCTCAAGTGCGACAGTTGTTCGAGTGCTTGAGTGCAAACGTACCCAATTTATATATTTTTTTTTGTTCATTCGCAATTACAATTGTTTTTCAACGCTTCCCATATCGCAATAGGCGAGCGCAATTTATCGCGCCCATTAATTAGACTTGTGGGAACGTCTGAAAGTCGAGTACGTGCGCACTTTCCAGCATATTGGCCACATGTATAAATATATATATATATAATAGTTGATTCGTGTGGCTTTTCTTTTCAGATATTTCACCTGCGCGACATACGCTGGGAGAGGTCGCAGTTCCTGTCGAAGAGCTTCCTGGGCTTTGTCGCGTTCAACTTCTTCCTGTACAGCCTGTTTGGCATTGAGGTGTTCAGTTCGCTGATCAATTCGGAGCGTCGTGATTATGCGCACATCTTCAATGGCTGTTATGCTGTGCTCCTGCTGATTGTCGTTATCTTCTTTCTGATTTATGGCGTCGAGGTGTTCTTCAAGCTGCGTGGCGGTTTTGTTTACGATCAAACGGGCAAAATTCTTGGACCCAGCGAGGCAATCGTGAATGCCTCGCAGCTGCATCAGTCGCGCTTCGGATTGCTCAGCCAGGGCATAATGCTAATTGTGATTGTCGGTTTCCTCACCTCCGAAACGCTTGGGGACTTCTGGAAGGCCAAGTAAGTCCTCGCTTGCCATTTAAATGTAAACGTGAATTGATTTCGTGTTTGTTTAACAGAGTGCCAGTCAATTCGCGCAACTGGTATGACATAATCTTTCGTATTGCCGAAATAGGCGTTGCCTTGTGGTTTCCGTGCTGCCTGTGGAACTGTATGGCACCGGAACAGCTTTGGATACTGAACCCACGCAAGCTGCTGTCGCGTCAAATCGATCCATCGATACCGACCCTCAATGCGGACAGCAACAAATTATCGCCCGAAGAGGGCCAGACGTTCTTGACCAAAAAGGATTGCTGGATATGCTATGACAGCGATAAGCCCGAACCGCTCATCCAGCCCTGTCGATGCACTGGCGACGTCAGCTCCGTGCATCACGAGTGCCTTAAACGCTGGTTAGTCGAGAGCTGCAGCAGCAACAACGAGGCTCAGCTGGCGTGCAAGGTTTGCTCGCATCCATACGAAATTGAGAAATCCAAAAAGTAACTAACCCGCAAATCCATTCTAATTAACAATATTTCTAACCGACTGCTATTCCGCACTGTAGACTCGAGTGGGACAAGGGCTTTACCATTCAGCACTGGATGAAGACCGTCATATTGATAACGCTGATGTGTGTGACCGGAGCCACAGCCTGGGCAATTATACAAATGTACGTGGATCCGTTGGTGCGCGTCCTGACCGTTGGCGTCGCAGTACTGATTGGCTACGTGTGCGTCAAGTGTCTGGGCGAGAATACTGTGGTGGCGTACCAGCGTGCCAAAGTCAGCTCCATTAATATTGTGACCAGCTCCGAGATGGAGAAGCTGCATACCATATGCGAGGACGTCAGTGCTAGCACCTCCGCGGCAGCAGCTGTGCAGGCCGCCTCCTAAAACAATAAGCACTTGAAGTCTATGCCATAAGGAAACATCACACCCATACACAGTTGCATACAAATACGTAAGATATATATGCAGACAGACAACAGACACTATACATACGATTTTGTTTAGATTAGCGCCCGTTTAGCACACATTTTTTGCTCAATCCCCCCTAAAATTCTTCTTCCCTGCAAACTGTGTACATAGGTTTTAAGTCATTTTAGTGTTTAGGATAAACATTTCGAAAAAACGAGTCAATTTTGTCTCTCAAAGTAGCACGCATTATTCCAAGCGGTACATGTATTAAAACGAAAACGGAAGAAAAAGAAAAGCAAAAGCAAAAGTAAAGCCAAATATTATATAATCTATGTACCACATACATAAGCCAGTATCAATTATACACAAATTACCGATAACGTCTTGAGATTATGATTATGATGAGAACACGTTGCCAAGTAGCTGGAGAAGTTTTTTAAATTAAATACGCGTAGGTAACAACGGCACCAGTCAATGTCAGTCTAGCTGAGCATGTTTGTAGTTTTTAGAGTACACTTTAAGTTCTTAAACACGGCACAGCTAAGTTTATTTGGCGAATATTAATTTAGGAACACACACACACATATATATATATATATATACAAAAATACTTGTATTCATTTTTTTTTTAATTTGTATTCAATGCGAATACTGTTCGCAGTACACCTTAAGCTTATACTTAACAAATCTAATTTATAAACCATTTATATATTTATTTATATATATATATATATATATATATATATATATATGTATGTAAATCGCGCCCACATTTGAATTGTGTTATTCAAAGCAATTTTGCTAATCAAACATAGTTTCAACAAATTATCAACAACAAATTGAACACAACATATTTACACCTTAAGCTTATATACATTTTTGTGATAAACCAGTTTAATATAAAAAACATTTATATCAAATAAAATTCGTGTTTTTAAATATGTTTAAAGATAACTGCTCTCTCTCTCTCTCTCTCTATATGGATTTCGAGACTAACGATGATTGCTAGTCTAGGATATTTTTTATATAGCAAAGGTGCAAAACAAGAGAACATTATTTATTTATTTATTTATTAATGGTCGACAAACCGAGTGTCTTCCTCATTATTCAATAGGTTATACAATAGATAATAGAATTATATGCTAAAAGCCTAGTTAAAGAATACCAATTTTCTAAATAGCATCACCGACCGATGGAGGTGTTTTATTTGCCAGTCCGGCCAGCTATGCCTGTATCCTCCAGACTTTCTTTAATTGTGTTTTTCATACCTGTTTATATTTGTTGTCTTCAGGTAAATGATGAACATGATGCACACCTTTACCTTTACATCTTGGCAATCCTCTTTATACGCTTGCATAGTGTGAAATGTAAAGAAAAACACATCTAACAGAGCATTTGTGTTCTTGATCGTACCGACAGCCTTGTCCGTTTGCCTGTTTTAGGTGTACTTTGATAAAACTTTGCATAGGTCTCTACTTTAGTCGCATTCAGCACATATGATGTCTGATGCTGTCCGATTTTTCATTCTATGTCGAAAGCAAAATCTCATTAGCAAAGCGAAATCTCTCTTTAAAGGTACGATTTTCCGGAATTGGGTTTTTGTTTGAAAACATGCAAAAGTTAATAAGCTAAACTTTTTAAAAATCTATAAGCTAGAAAAGTGATTTAAGATACAATTTTCTATATTCAGCATTGTTATTTGCAGCTTTGATGGCAGCAATTTTTCTTTCATATCACTTGGCTTGTTTCAGCGCCTCTTGGCCACAAGGTTTACCATGGTGTAAGAAGGTTATGAGGCAATAGGCTCGTTGTGCAATTGCGACATCTTCAATTCCTTAAAAGCTTTGGAAAGATTCAATAAAACAGTCATCGTATTTGTTGTCCTTTAAGTCTAGAGTTATACATTTATTTTACACGCAATACCTATCAAATTTATAAGTTTTATATGTATACATGCTTACAAGCTTTTCATTATTGTATGCATCTATAATGTGCTAATGTATATATGTATATTTGAAAAGATCAACAACGTAAAGAAAACTAAAGACTAAACTAAAAATTCACACAGTCCTTCAAGCTGGCACGCAATTTAATGCCAAAATTCAATTTTATAGATCACATTACTAGCTAATAATATAATATGCGATATATGTATATATATATGCTAAATCGACTAAAAGCTACAAGCTAAATATCTTTTATTTTAGTTGCTAGAAAACTATTTGAATTTAGTCGAGAAATATAACTTGGCCGAAAGTGCCTTAATTTAGAGCAACTGATGCAGCTTTTGGTACGCTACGCCGTTTCATGGACTACGTAAAACAATTCAACTAATGGGCGTCAGTCCTGGGAGTCGGCGAATGGATGAGTGCTCATATTGATATATATATATATATGCTAGGATTTTGCCAGCTAGGTTGTTGTTAACTGGAGGCGGCAGCAGAGGAGCTTATTGTACGACGGCCGAGCGCTTGTCGCGGTTCTTGCCACGCGTTATGGAACGTGCCTTGAAAGCGGCGGCATTCACCAGATGCTGCAAATGGATACAATTAATATTAGTTCAAGCGATTGCAAACAGTTGATATTTCACTTACGCGCTCCAACTTTGACTGTTTGACCTTGGCGTTGCCATTGATGCCAGTATTGGTGGGTCGCGGTCCCAGCTGGAAAATATCGCGTATGAATTCATTCTCCTGCAGCTGTGAGGTCATGCCGGGACCCATAACAGTGCACAGGGCCGAGTACTGATGGTGTATGGACCAGGAGTCCAATGTGAGAGCATCGTGTGCGAAACGTATATTGATCTCAGGCGAAATATCCTCCTGCATGGTCAAACAATATAAAGGCGTCATATTTAGCAAGCGTCGACACAAATTTCAGACCGAAAACTTCTAGCTCTTAACAAATTCTCTATCAACTATTTATATTAGTTTTACTCTTTCTTGAGCCGCTCAAAATTTTATGTGGAACTTAAAAAGATAATTATAAAATTCCAAAAACAAAAAAAAAATTCTTTTAGCCGACCTTCAAAATGATGCTATCCACTTATCAACACGACTATGTTCCACCGAACACGAAGCGCTACGAGTTTATGAGCCACCTCAAGACACACGACGGCTTCGGGGGGCCAAAGGTTGTGGAATGCGAATGCGTGGAGGAGGACAAGATAAAGCCGCCGGAAGACGCGGTCAAGAATTGCTCGGGCGTGGAATGGACGGGTATAGCACCGATGGGACGTTTAGTGGATCCACGTCTAATACCAACCGAACTGGCACAGGATCAGGTGGAGAAAATGGCGTTTGCCCCCGAATCGGACTGCTCGAAGCTGCAGCCGAATCGGTTTCTCAAAATATTACGCAACGTCTATCCGGATTTGTACGAGCGCCTGAAGTTAATGCCCAAGGAGGAATTGGGACGCAGGCTGGAAACGAATCGCATGTACACAACATATCAGATTGATTACTGCGACGTTAACGAGTACCCAGAGGGCATTTACGAGAGCATGAAGCCCACAGACGAAGCATCCAAAATGAAATCGGACAAACTGTTGTCGAAAAAGGAGCCTTGTTCCGAATTCCGTTCGGATGTGATGAAGCAGCTAGAGCGCGAAAATACCACCGGCTACGAAGTCAAGGACGATGAATGCGAGCAAGCCTATAAGCCATTCAAGACCACATTCTCCGATTCCTCCCAGTTCGTCAACTCGGGCAACAACTCACACTGGAAGACGGCGGGCAGCACGTTCCGCAAGTCGCCGAACTTTACCGAATACATGGACTCAATCAGCCGCAACGGCTGCATCATAATGCGCAACAAGCTGCACGATCATTCCAAGTGCCTGGCGAATCATTGCCGGCACGAGATCCGGTTCAACTGCACCGACATGAAACAATAGTCTTCAAAAGTATCTCTATAATCCCTGTTGCTTGGTTTGTACACAACTGTTTGATATGTATAAATTTAAATTATCAGATTGCAGGCCGTTTTGTTAGCTAATAATATACTATTTAGTCGGTGGCTCCGACTAAATCTATAGTCTGTCCGTGTCCAAGACTCACCTCCAGATAGCGCAAAACATCGCGGAACGTGGCGCGCTGCGCCTTGCGATCGCGTTTGGCGCGATATTTGTGCGAATCGGTGGCCAGCTGCTTGACGGCATCGCACAGCTCACCGATGTGCTCCTCCAGGAAGTTCTCATCGTGTGCACGGCCCGATTCCAGAATTAGAGCAATCGTCTCGCCAGCGGCCATTCGTACATCCAAATGCGGTGATTGCAATAGACCCAAAAACTTTTTGATAGAGCTGCAAATGTAATTAGTTCGATCAGAATCTACCATTTAGCTCTGTCTGCTCCGGCTGCTTACGGAAATTTGTGCTGTCCGGTGGTCATCAATGAGACAAAGTCGCCCGAAGGGACGAGCGTCAGCAGCAAGCCCCAAGCGGATAGAGCCTCGGCATGCAAGGCTCCGGCCTCGGCAGTGACAGAAATGGGCGTCTTGTCATCGCCGCGCAAATAGCTGCCGGCGAAGATGGTCTCGAAGAACTGCATCAGCTGCACCAGTTCGCCAATATCCTCGCAGTCCAGGAAGTTGAGCAGACCCAGAGCTGTGCAGCATTTGGCGCGTGCATCATAATTGACAGATTTATCCTGCACGGTGGTCAGCAAGAACTGATTCATGGCCTTGGACATGCCCTCCTCGCCTCCCAGCTGCAGCACCAACAGCGGCGCCAGACGTGCACCCCACATCTGCTCCTGGCCCTTGCCGCGGCGCACGCTCTTCTCCACAAAGTCCATGAGCGTCATTTTGCGATCCTCGACGAAATCGGGCATATAACGGTGCATCAGCAGCTCACAGATAGCCTGCAATGCCTGGACGCGTGTCTGTGCCGACTTCTCGGTGGCCTGTTCCAGAGCCTTTTCGAATTTCTCCTCGAAGCGCTCGTTGGCCAGATCCTCGGCTGCCTCCGAAGAGGCGATCTCCGAGACGTGCGAATAAACGCTCACATTGTCAAAGGATTCGTCCTCCGAATTGGAGTCGTTGGTGCGGCCTGCTAAAGTTTTTTAAAATGCTTGCATTAACGAGCTATTCAAACTGTAGGTTTCTTGAATTTAATGTGTTTAATCATTTCCGCTGCTATTTAAACTGATCCCAACAGTTGTTCGATCGCGCTGCTAATCAAGCTGTTCCCACTGTTACCTCGCTGTACATACTCAGATGACTGGCAGTGCTATCTAAACTGTTAAATCACTATTCCCACTGTTGCCTCACTGTCAAATTATTTGCGATCTCATCGCTACACAAACTGTTAACACATTTATTTCGTGTGATATAATATAACTTGTTTAAACTGATCCCAAGGCAGGTCTAACAGTTGTTTGATCGCGCTGCTAAATCATGCTGTTAATGCAAAGTGCATACATGACTGTTAAATGACTATTCCCACTGTTACCTCACTGTACATACTTTGATGACTGGCAGTGCTATCTAAACTGTTAAATCACTCTATTCCCACTGTTGCTTCACTGTCAAATTATTTGCGTTCTCATCGTTACTCAAACTGTTAACACATTCTTTCTTGTGATATGACTCAGCTCTCACGAGAGAGTTATATTAATGTGTGTGTGTGCATGTACATATATGTGCAATATACATACAAAGCAACAATTTCTAGTACCTTAATTTTCCGCTTGACAGCGATATTTTTGGCATGTGTATGTGTGCGTATATCAAAAATACAATTACACGTATGCATGTGTATTTTAATTTGTAGGTACGAGCACAACAAAAGTAATTGAATGCGCATTGGCATTTTTGGGGCAATTGTACGACCTTCAAATGAAAATGTTGTGCAACAAGTTTTACCGTTTGTTGTTACCAAAGAAAAACTCGCTTAACTTTCTATATACACAACAATTTTCACTTAGCAGCTGACTACCGATTTGGGACAAAACAATTTCCGCCATTGAGTTTTCATTTTCCCATTGCAGGGAAAGGCATACACACACATTTGTGTATATGCATGTGTGTATGTATCTCGACAAAAACAAAATTGTTGCTTGTGTTGCAATCACAACAACAGCCTGAACAGCTGTTGGAAAAACCAACTGTGATTTGAAAGTTGTTTGGTAAGTTGGGGTTGAGTGCTGCTCTGAGCTTCCTCTGAGAGAGGAAGCGCTGCTCTGGCCATAATTTGAGTGCCTTAATAAAAGGAGAACCCTTTTGTAGGCAGCTGCTTCCGCATAAGAAGCCCTATTTTGCTAGAAGCATGCAATGCTTATTTATAAATATAACCTACTAATACATACAGACATGCTGCTTGCCTGCGATTAATTACATTTACAAAAAGAAATATACATACATATATAAATACGTACAGCTGTGTGCTGCTTTGTGTATTTCTTGATAAGCTGGCATTGAACGTTCACACTTGTACAGTGTGGCCGTACACTGAACTGGCCGCAGAGTCTATGCGCTATTAAAGACATTTTGCAAAAAGGCAAATTTACAATAACAATTGATGTTGTTTTGAATAATTTCAATATATCTCCCAAGTTGCTTTAACTAACTAATAAACAAGCAGTCCCAACTATAAGTCTGTAAGCCAAGTGTGCTGATCAACAGAGTCGCCCTAAATACATATATGCCCTCGCAGGGTATTACAGCATTCGAATTGACGACATTTAACCGTTGGATTTTCTTCGTTTTTGCTCTGCTTCAGCAGCTGAGCGCGTGCAAAGCTTTTGCCAGCGCAGCAAAACACAAAAATATATATTTCGATGATTGCCAAACAGGTTGGAGGCGAAAGCTTTTGAAGCCAACGAAATGTATATTTCATGCTATTTGAATGAGTAATGCCTGCGAGAGCGCTGTGTGCAAAAGGTCAATAAAATAATTTTCAGCTGGCTACACTTCTTAACACAGTCCCACAACACCCACGACATCTTTAAAATTTTCTTTGTGACTCACCTTTGCCTCCTGCTTTTTTATTACGACGCGGCATATTGTTGTTGTTGTTGTTGCTGTTGTTGCGCTGACGAATTTTGTGTTTGGTTTTACTTTGGCTGATCTTGACTACGATCGCTGTTATTTTCGGCACACACACACACAAACTCAAGCCTTGTTGGGCAGTGTCCTTTTGCGCGAGAGCGTGAGAGAGTCTACACAAAAAAATCTACACACGCGCTTGGCGGCAACTATTGGCGGCACTGGCACGTGTTCTCTGCTTTTATTGATTTTCTATGCGTTGGGCGTTCAGGAATTTAGGTTAGAATTTTGGATGTTATGGGGAGTTCTTAATCTTTATGTGCTTTGTTTAAAGTGCAAGACTGTTAATCAAGACGCAGCTATGCAAAAGCTTTTATGCTTCCAATATTGTCTTTGTTGCTGGGCCTGCTGTTGCCTTTTGTTGCACAACACGCGTTTGGAAATGTTGAGAACTGATACCGAACTGAACGTTGTTGATTTGAACGCGCGTTTTTTATTTATGCACTGCTGATGTTGCTGCTCCTGATTATAAAAATGCTGGTCGTCGCTTTGTGTTGACACAAATTTCATGTTTAATTGCAATTGAATATCGTTGCTACTTCCTTGGCCTTGAGACTGACTGTGTCTGACGTCGACAGCGCCGCCTTTTTTCCGAGGGTGTATAACGAGTTGTGAAATTGTTTGCTTAGGCGTTTGCGGTTTCGTTGCTATTGACTCTTTTTTTTTAATATGCACGTATGCACGGCTTTAGCTTTGATTATTGCAGCTTTTCCAAAAGCTCTGCGTCGTTGGTGTGTTGTTAAAATAATGCAAATAATTAAGCACTTTTCGTATTGCTGAAGTTGACGAAATTATAATGACACATTCGGAGCAGTGTTGAGCAGCGTTTAATGTGCTTATCGCAAAAGAGTTATCGAACTAATATCATTGCGCATCTGCGCAAGATGCCACGAAATAAAAATAAAAACCCCATTCATTATTTTTGTTATGAAATTCCGACGGCAAGGGTTTCCCCACTTAGATTTTAATTAAAAATAAACCTTTTTGAAAAGAACAGTGCATAAAGAAGCATTTATGACATTTTCCGGTACTGTAACCAGCTGTTGGCTTACAAGGTGGCGCCAAAGTTTTGAATTAAATTTTTAAGTCAATATATAAACCAACTTATTTTTTCTATTTTGTTTATTATTGCAAACCACAATAAACAAATATCACTTTTATAATATAATTTTGTTATATTTTTTTCTCAAAACATCTGCTTTGTTATCGATTATTTGAAATCAATCAAATCAAAATCAATTTGTATAATACAAGCGTTTATATCTATTTTTGTACTCCCCATGTATTTAATGAAAGATATAAAGAGATATTTTCTTAAATGAGAAATATTCTGTCAATGGATTCGTAACTTTTCACCTAATTAATATTTGATCAACCCAATTGGAAAATTCATTCAAATGAGTTGCAGCAACACCCTGTATTTGTCATCGATATTCACAAATCCCAATTTTAATGCATTTATCGCAATTATCAATATATCGATATATATAGTCTCACCCACATTCATTCCCAAGTCTGTTTATTTTTATTGCAAAACGAATTTAAAAACAAGTAGTCGTTAGGCAGCAAAGCATCGGCTGCTGCTCGGTGTTCATATAAACAATTTGCATTAAATGCCAATTATTAATTGTTATCAGCGATGCTTGTTTGCTAAACACAAATGCAGCAGCAGCAATAATTTGTATTGAACTTCGACTCCTCAGAACTCGAACTTTGTCATTTCTCTTCACACACGCACGCACACACACACATGCAGTTGCCAGCGTCAGTCGATGTGAATCAATAACAAAACCCCAACAACAACAACAACAACAACGAGGACAAAAACACTGCCCGAGAGAAGCTTACAGCGTCATTTTTGGGTGTCTGCACTTGCACAAGATAATTAGGTAATTTGTAAACTGCTTGCGACAGCATCAGCGCCATTCACCTGCGTGTTGGCGTTCGTTGTTAAATGTTCAGGCCATGCGGATGCGACGAAGTGGGGGGGGAAATATTCACAATTATCGCTGAACCTTAACCGTTGTATCTGTATCTAATCTAATGTTTATAGCCAGCTGAATTTGAATTTGTATTTCAGCAGCTATTGCAAGCGATGGCTAGCATTGAGGAGCGTTTCCAGGCGGCTGTCAACGTGATCAAGGGTCTGCCCAAGAATGGTCCCTATCAGCCCAGCATGAGCATGATGCTCAAGTTCTATGGACTCTTCAAGCAGGCGTCGGAGGGCAATTGCTCGCCAAAAAAGCCGCCCTTCTGGGATGTAGTTGGGCGTGCCAAATGGGATGCATGGAACAGCAATCGCAATTTGAGCAAGGAGCAGGCTATGCAGCGCTATGTGGAAAGTCTGCAGGAAATCATTGAGACCATGTCGTTTACGGAAAATGTGCAAAACTTTGTCGGCAGCCTGGAGGGCCTGACCAATATCAATTTGGATGAACTGGAGCTGATATCGCCGGGTATGCGTGAGCTGGCCGAATCGCATCCCAATTCGCCGTTCCATTCGCGCACAAACAGTCCACAGCATGGCAGCAGCTCCAATGGAGTTGGTGTGGTGGATGCGCCCATCGTTGCCACGTCCACGGAGACCCTGACCAATGGCCACCTGACGCCGCTGACCAATGGCTACACAAGCAAATCAAGCAACGGCTACGCAGCACATGACTCGAGCAGCAACAACAATTATACAAGCAGCAGCAGCGTGGCCATTGTGGAGCCCTCCGATGACGAGTACGATGATCCCTACGAAACGATGCTGCCCCAGGAGCTCACAGAAGCGATAACACACAACACGGATCTGCTGCGACAAATACAGAACACAGTGGCCAGCATGAACACCGATATGGCTGCAGTGCAGCAGCGGGTGCGCTGCATGGAGCAGTCTCTGCTGGAGCTGCGCACTGCACAAAAGACGCAGTCAGCAGCCGGACGAAAACAGCCAGCCTGGTGGCTCTTCAAGGATATTTCGCCATTGTGGTTTGCAGTTCTGGTGCTGTGGCCCTTCCTGGTGCGACGCCTCGCGCGGATGGTGGAGAGCAGACGCCGCTGACGGCGCAAAGCATTAGATTAGCCTTTTCGGTATGGTAGTTAAATTGTAAGTACAAATAGTAGACGGCAAATAAATCAATTTCCTAATCTTATCAGTAAATTCCATTGAGTAAATTCTTAACTTATTAATTTGATCAATAACTCTCAACTTCTTGCAGATACTCACGGTTATGGGGACGAGCTTTGTCTGGCTTGCTTTTATTCTCGAACGCGTTACACTTCTTGTACAGAGAGTTGGCCTTGTATTTAGTTTCTTAAGATTATCCAGTTGCAATATGTATATTTTATATGTAGTCTGTGTGTATATGTACTTTTTATGTTTGTAACAAACGAGCACACATAAGCTATTAGTGGCACATTCCCCTTCCCCGATCAACATGTTTAGTTCGTAAGACAAAAGTTTTGTGCATTTTGCCCAGGCTGGGCGCGCTTTTGCTTGGTCCCACAGCGTTGCCTCTTCCCTGAGAGACTGGGGCAAATGGTTGTAAAACAATTTGATTTGTTGTTAATTATAATTTTGTAATAAAGTCATGTAAAATGCAGAATATCACAATTCGGCTGTCATGGAATACTTCTAGTTCTGCGGCTGAGCAGTGATGCGCAAATAGCTTTTGCCCGAGGGCACCTGGATCGTCTCCACCCCGTTAGGAAAAAGCTGCGGCACATCGGCAGCCTGCACTGTGGGCAGCACCATGCACTGGCCGCCCGGCTGCCAATCCGCGGGCGTGGCCACGCTCTTTGTTTGTGTCAACTTGAGCGAGTCGACAACGCGCAGAATTTCACTGCCAGAACAGAGTACAATTCAGTTAATGGTCAAGTTGAAATACAAATTTAAAGCTCACTCGAAATTGCGACCAGTTGTGGCTGGGTATAAAATAGAGAGACGCAGCTTCTTCTTGTCGTCTATAACGAAGACGGCGCGACAGGTGAGCGGTATGCCCGCAGCATTCAGCTCATCCTTGTCCAGCATATTCAACTTGACAGCCAGCTCGCGCTTATCGTCCGCAATAATGGGATAATCGAAGCTTGCCAGCTCTGGAAGAAACCAAGAATTAGGAGGCAGTTCTCATGTAGCACGTCCTATAACTTACTGCCATAGCTTTTGATGTCCTCGATCCAAGCGTTGTGGGACTCTGCCGTGTCACAGGACAGAGCAATCGGTTTAATGCCGCGCTTCTGAAATTCCGGAATCAATTGGGCAACCCGTGCAAGCTCTGTGGTGCACACGGGCGTGAAATCTGCCGGGTGCGAGAAGAGGATGGCCCAGCTGTCGGCCATCCAGTCATAGAAATCTATTTTTCCCAGATTGGTCTGAGCCTCAAAGTTGGGAAACGGATCACCAATGTTAAGAGCTTTGGGCGACATTTTAAAAAATGTAACAAATTAATTGAACGAAAAGAAGCAATTAAGAAAGTTCTGCAGCTGACAGACTATCGATGCCAATGCTCGGCTTCTTAGCGATAGTTGGTTATCGATAGTTAGTTATCGCTTATATCGTTTGCACATTTATCAGCAATCAACCAAAACAAACACTTTAACTCAACAGTTCAGTTTAAAAATATACATATTTAACAAAAAACAGGCTACCAAGCAACATGTCTGATCTTAGCATCAGCGGAACTCAGGTGCAGCCACAGCCCCCGCCACCTGTCGCCGAACCCTTTCGCATAACAACGAATGCGCCACAAATGATTGATGCAAACCTGACGGAGGGACGTCGAAAGCTTCAGAAGTGGCTGGGACGCGTCTTGCGAATCGTTATTACCGACGGACGTGTATTGGTTGGTTTCTTCAACTGCACGGATCGGGATGCCAACATTGTGTTGTCCATGTGCGCCGAGTATCTGGTGGAGGGACAAGAGCCTCGTCTGCTGGGCAACGTCATGGTGGCCAAGAAGCATATTGTGTCTCTGAACATTGACGAGCCCAGGCCCTCATCAATTATTTGAGTATCCTTTTAAATATTGTAAGAATATAAGTGCTCCATACATGTGTTAATATGTATAAACAGCGAACAAAAAAAGTATGGCAACATCGTAGTCGTTTGTGGACTACCTATGCATGTTAGTCCGTTTAAGAATAAAAGTAATATCAAATCATGAATATACACATGACTAAAAACGCTGTCTATTCATTTGCTTAATTTGGTAAACAAACATTTTAATAAAATTAAAGAATTTAAATGTTTAAAGCAGGGTCTCTTACTTATTTCAATCACTGTAAGAATTGTCATTGTTTTTATGTTAGTCAATGTAAATGGCAATACGCCGCGTTGCCAACTACATTTCAAACTAGCTGCTATATATTTAATCTTTTAGCTTTTGCCTATAAGTAAATGTGAATATTTTGCTAAATATTCTAAAATTAATTGCCAAACAATTCTACACTGAACATATATTTAATCAAATCGAATCTTTTTAAAATTGATGGCAAGTCAGCTGCAAGTGCGGTATTTTTTTTAGTTTGTATTCGAGCATGGATTTTTTAGTACATTTATTCTCAGCCGCAAACAGCAACAACTAAATTGTTGAAAGGCGTTATTAATAATGTCAACACAGCAGTAGAGCAATTAATTGCTAAAAATCAACACTCAATTGAACACAATCAGCAATGGATTTCACGAGCTTCGTCAAGCCTTCAAACGGAGGCGCCGGCGGCGATACTGAGAACGCCGACACCAGCAAATTACAATTTTGGAAGCACGTCGAGTATATTGAGAACCATGGCAAACAGGAGGACGACTACGAGTATTGCATGACCGAGTTCCTGCGCATGTCGGGCATTTACTGGGGCGTCACTGCGCTGGACATAATGGACCAGCTGGACCGGCTGGACCGCAAGTCCATCATTGAGTTCGTGAAGCGCTGCCAGTGTCCGATAAGCGGGGGCTTTGCTCCCTGCGAGGGCCACGATCCGCACATGCTGTACACGCTGTCCGCGGTGCAGGTGCTGTCCACATACGACGCGCTGGACGTGATCGATTGCGATGCGGTGGTTCGCTATGTTGTGGGTCTGCAGCAGCCGGATGGCAGCTTCTTTGGCGACAAGTGGGGCGAGGTGGATACTCGGTTTAGCTTCTGTGCGGTGGCCACGCTGGCGCTGCTCAAGCGCATGGAGCAGAGCATAGATGTGGACAAAGCGGTTAAGTTTGTTATGTCGTGCTGCAATCAAACGGATGGCGGCTTTGGCTCCAAACCGGGCGCTGAGTCACATGCGGGTGAGTCATGGATATTCATTATTTGTCTGAAACCAAACAATTATAATCTGCGTCGCTTGCAGGACTCATTTATTGCTGCGTGGGCTTCCTGTCGATTACACAGCAGCTGCATCTGTTGGACGTGGATAAGTTGGGCTGGTGGCTGTGCGAGCGACAGCTGCCCTCGGGCGGACTCAACGGTCGTCCCGAGAAGCTGCCCGATGTCTGCTACTCCTGGTGGGTGCTCTCATCGCTGACCATTATGGGGCGGCTGCATTGGATTAGCGCCGAGAAGCTGCAGCAGTTCATTCTCTCCTGTCAGGACACGGAGACGGGCGGCTTCTCTGATCGCACCGGCAACATGCCAGACATATTCCACACGCTCTTCGGCATTGGCGGCCTCTCGCTGTTGGGCCATTCCGGACTCAAGGCGATCAATCCGACGTTCTGCATGCCGCAGTATATTATCGACAGGCTGGGCATTCAGCCGCAGGTTCTGACGCATGCGTAGGCATCCAATGCAGTTATTGATATTAAGACAAAAGCTATAGCCAATGTTATATGATTAATTTATAAAGCGTACCTCACGCATCTTATGCTACCTTAAAGCAACCCAAAACAGATTCAACTAGACAGATTCACAGTTCATTTTTCTTTGTATCCTACACCCATTTTGAACAAATTATGCTTGTTATGCATTTATATATATTTAGCTGTATTTTTAAATACATATATAAAGCATATTCTAATGTTTCATAAGCAAGCCATGTAAAAGTTTTCTGTATTTGTAATTATAGAGCAAATCTAAATAAAGACACTATTTTATTATCGCATGCGAATAAAGATATTTGCACTGGTCAGAGAGCAACAAGAATTAGGCCTTTCATTCGGGCAAGAATTTTCGTTTAGGAACTTAGACTTCGATATGTTATAGTTAATCCAAGGAATTGTTGTTGCCAATTTGGTGAAAATAAAAAATTATAGAGTATCCAATTCAACAATTTTATTTTGTTTTTAAAATAACAAATATATGCGTGTAAAATTTCAAATTTTTATATTTTTTAATATTAAACAATTTAAAAATTAGATATGTATGCAGATAATATATACATTAGGAAAATATTGAGTGTAAGACTAATACGATATCGTGGCATATTAATTACATACAAAAGAAAATATAATCACACAAAAATCTGAATTACAAACTAGAAGAACGAAGTGTAGTCACAGTGCGGCCTTCATATAAATGAAAAATAAATGAATTCGCTTTCAATTAAAGACAATTGAAATGAATTTATAGCGCATAAATATATTAACTGGCCAGCAGAAGGCTGTCTATGTGTGTGTGTGCGAGTGTGTGTGTGTGTGTGTGTGTGTGTGTGTGTGTGTGTGTAGTATACTTCGATGCACGTCTAAGGCACTCTAGAAACAATTTCAGCTATATATATTCGCCTACACACTAATAGAAGGAGAACTAGGAATTATTGAACTTCTCATCGCTGGTCAGCACATTGTAGGCACATCCTAATGCCCAAGAGATTTCATGGCCGTCAATCTTTTTGTAAAGCTGCGCAAATAAACAAGAAAAAAAACGAATTAGCAGAATTCTAAACAAATGATGTTCATTTATGACACACACCTTTACTTTCTTGCTGTCGTTAAGACCGAATCCTTCGCGCAGCAGCACCGAGATGAAGGTCAAATCGAAGCACATGAATGGCTGCTCATCATTGGGTATGGCACAGATTTCCTGGGCCTTCTTGCGATAGCCCTCCACGGTTGTCTCGCCGCCGGCCGTGGGATCAACCAGACCCGATTCGATGGCGCGCTCAAAGTAGTAGCTAAATGCGGCTACTGCATGCTGTTTGAGCGTGAAGGGTTTTGGCTTGACCAATGGCATTACCTTGCTCTTGACCAGCTCCAGGCATGCGTCAAAGTCAACGACCGGCTGCTCGGCGCTGGATTTGCTGTTCTCCTTGCCGCTGACCTGGTACTTGACATTGCCGTACACCCAGGTGCGATTGGCAATGATGGGATTGACGCAGACGCTCTCCACCACAGTCTCCTCGGCGCTGTAGCCCTTGGTGAAGACAGCATGGCGTGCGGCCATTAGGCCCAGGCCCAGATAGCTGTGCGTAAACACATTTATCTTCTTGTTGGAGGTGACCACCTCGTGCATATACTTGTCGTAGACGGGCACCTGTTCGGGATCTGTGGGCGAGAAGGTGACCTGCGTGCTGCCGCCGCCCAAGTCCAGGGCAGCTGCCTGGTTCGTCTTGGACAGACGGCCCAGCAGAAAGTTAACGGTGAACCAGCTGAAGATGCCCTCGTCCGTGCCATTCATAATCTCGACGGCATCAATGTCCACACTAAACTCGGACTTGGCGAACAAATCGCGCACCGCATTCAGCAGATTCTCTGCCTTGCTCTGTGGCAGCAGCCGCAAGCCAGCCGTCGCCTTCAGCACCAGCGGCGTGGACGACCAATGCTCCTTGGGTATAAAGGCACGCGCCTCGTCCAGCAGCAGCTTAATGGAGTGTGCGCCCTCGGCTGGATTATCGGCGAACGAGCTAAGGCCGGGCTTGCGCTCCTTAAACAGCTCCTCATACAGCACCAGCTTGTTGTCAATGAAGCTGCGATTGAACTTGTACGCCAGGACGCGGCTGCCCGTCGAGCCGGCGTCTATGATGGCCGCATACTGAACCTTGCTGTAGCCCAGCTTGGAGGCCAGACGCGCCAGATACGGGCTTGCATTGTCGGACACGGCGCCTGCATGGTGGTTGTTGTTGTGATTATGTGTCGTCGGTTTGGTTGTGGAACGTGGCGCATTTGGTTTTGCGTGATGCGGCGATTCATGAAAGGGGACGGTAACAGTGGGAAAATCAGAGGTTTTAGTTAGTTTCGGCACAATTGGCGTCGGGGTTTTAGCAAAATACAATTGATACACACCAAAAACAAAGAGCAGCAGGACCACGGACACAATCAAACACAGAAATGATACTTTTAGGCCGCTGGTCACACCGCCACGTCCATTTCCGTTTCCGGCGCCGCTGCCTTTGCGTCGATTCGCCGGCGCCACTTTATCCTCGCTGGCCAGCTGCATTATAAGCAAACGTACAAAATAAACAGTATTAATATAGTTAGCTTGTTCCGTTAATATATATATATATACATATATGTATAGAGTCAAATGTGTTAAATAATTGTTGCTACCAGCTTGTATTCGTATCTCATTGCGCTGCGTTTGCTATCTATAAATAACCAGCATTTTCCTTAAAACACATGCTGGCAGCTTCGTCAATTGTTTGCACTTGTCTGTCTGTTTTGGGTTTGTTTCTTTTTCGCTTCCAATGCGCTTGACAATTTCGGTTTCTTATCGCACAATTGGCCAATGTATTTGTTGTTGTTGCTTTTCAAGCATTGAGGGCTGCCCAACATTTAGTTATCGATAACTTGCGCAGCCAGGGCTGCATTACACCAATGAGCTTTGCTAACTGTGCTAATGATCTAAATCTGTGATTTAGAACGTTGCAGCCATTGAATTGTTATAAAACATGTTTTGAATATTATTTTGAATCATTTCAATGAGAAAACCTAAAGACTACTTATTAATTTTTTATGAAATTTAGTTCAGCAAACTTTATCGCATCAGATGCCAAAGCTAATAATGATGAGTGCGCATTTATTTTACACTAACAGAGCACAAAATAAACATTTGACACGCTCATTACACACATACTTAACATTTATTTATACATACATATGTGTATATTAATATTCAAGTCTAGTTTCGCATTATGTTATATAATGAATGAGTAATTTTCTATCAATAAGTAATTAGCATGAGAACTTGAGAGTCATGCTAGGTTACAATATTTGTAGCGCTTTTTTGTTTTCTCTTCAAAAAACCAAGCGAAGGTTATCTTTTGTGTGTAGATTTGTAGACTACGATAAGATATTCGTACCATTTGGAGAGCTTGTCAAATTTGTAGAGTTAAGTGCAGAGTCTTTTGGCTTGAACAAATATTGTTGTTGAAACCACAAAGACAACTAACGAAATTGCCATTCAATTATTTAAACAAGTGTAAGTGCACAAATAAATTAAACTAAACTAACAGAACCCAAAGACGACTCTGAACTGTGGACTGTCATTTAATTGGCAACTGCAATTGCTTGAATTGAATTCATTTGCAATGTCAATGCGGAAAATTCACTTGCAACTTTGTGAATTTCGACAGCTGCGCCAAGGTGGAGGCGCCTTTTAATCAATAAACTAAGAAATACCTAACAAAAAATCAATTGATAATTGAGACGTGCGACCGGGACAGGCTTGTTTTAGTAAGGCTTTTCGCTTATCAAGAGAGAAACGCACACAGCTTAGCTTATCACTCGGCATTGTAAAAATAGCTCTGTTTGAGTATTTCATCAGACGTAACGAGTCTAACAACAGCTATCGTTATGCAAATATCGGTATTGTGGCCGGCGCACAAGGGTTAAGCTGCGCACAAGGGTTAAGCTGCGAACACCATCCAACGCGGTTTGAACCTGTTTTGCGCTGCGCCCACAAATTGGTTGTTGAACATCATCATTAGAGAGCAATTTATCTCATGAAAATAGATGACCTTGCTGGTTGGGGGAGAAAATAAAAAAAAAAACTGCCGAATACAAGCGTAATTTAACCGGCCGGTCAATTTGTATTTATTATGTGAAAATATCATTCAAATGCGTTATTTCGTCATTTTAAGCTCATTTACAAGTATAATTCAAGTTGTTTCGTCAGCTTTTCAATCACACGCACCTCGTATTACGCGATTTTTTAATCAACATAATCATGATTGATTTTGAAAATGATTAAAAATACGTTTTATACGAATATAATACATACAAAAATTATCTAAACGAGAGCTTTCCAATCTCTTATCTCCTTTGTTACATGTTTTTCCCATCTCTATAAATGGAAGCAGGACACCGGCAATCAAACGTTTACGAATCTCACCCAAAGAAGAGTTCTAAAATCAAGATTCAAAACATTTGCAGCACTGTGCCGGCTATTAACTGTTATAATTCAAGGCAATTAAAGTCTAGGCCAGTTGTTCACACATGTTTAGATCAGTTTTGTGCTCATCTCTATCTAGACGATCATATGGCAGCCGGGCACGCGAAACGAATTGAAATTGTTAGGAAAATTGTTGTTTGGGCAGCAACAATCAATTGTGTATGTAAATAAACTTGGCACAATAAACGCAAAGCATTAGCTTCAATTTCCGCATTTAATTGTGTGTGTGTGTGTGTTGAAAAACGCGCCGAAATTGGCATTTAAAACAATGTCGTAGCGTTGCCCTTTAACCTTAGCTCACCTTTCTCTTTCGCACATCGCTGGTTGTCATTGTGTTGATATATTTGTACTAAGTTGTGTAAAATCTATAAACGTTATTCACTAACACATTCGTATATGTTTGGCAATTAGTGACCGCTCACTAGAACAAAATCGCTTTTGTGTTATGCTTAAAAACTAAGAATAATTAAATGGCATCAACCACCACGTTGCGCACGAAATGGCGTACTAAATTCAACTAAAGATTGGTAATCAGCTGTTGCTGTTTGTACGGGCCGTAGTAGTGTTGTATAGTATCATGCTGAAAATTAATGGTCACCCTAACAACCTGTTAATACTGTCTATAACAAGCTATCCACAAAAAGGCTTAAATGGAATTGGTTTATACAACCGTCTATTTTAGTTTTCCGCTAATTATGGGCCACATGGACTTATTTAGTTTATACAATATTTCTACATTGTTTGCCATAATATTCAAAATGTTTTGCATATAAAGAAATATTATGAATCACTGTCATATAGTTGGTATTTTGTGCTGATAGATTTGGTACTATGGTATTTCTTGTTGAATTGTCTAATTTAGAGATTTTTCGGGGCTGGTCACTCTTAAATTTTTGTTTTCTTTTGAGTTTCTAGATTTTGAGATCCGGCCACACTTGGGTTAGTACCAAAACAAATGCCGAGCGAAGAAGTTGCGCGCGTGTCTGTGTTACGCCGCGAGCGTTGTGGAAAAAAGTATTTTTCAGAATTTCGTTATACTGTGCAAAACAAATACAACTAGCACAAAATAAATAAAAAGTAATTTCTATAAATATATATGACACAAAAGTAGAAAAGAATTTCAAAAAAATAAACAACATACCGAGAGCCAATACGAATTGTTGTGCATGTTTTTGTTGCAGAATCGGCTGTCTCTCGTATGAGTATGTGTATGTGTGTGTGTGTTTTGTGCTTGTGTGCGTATGTCGACTGTAAGTGCATGTGTAGTGGAATTAAAAATGCAAGCAATCGCATTAAAATAAGCGTAATGCATAAATAAAGTTTTAGCTGCATAAAAAACAGAACCAAAGGCAAATGTTAATTCACGCAGTGTAAAACAACAAAAGTAGCAAAGCTAACAACAAATGTGGGGCCATTCGTGTGCGGTTGTGTATGTATGGGTGTGAGTGTGTGTAACAACGACGACAAGAGCGCAATAAGATAAAATTGAAGGTTATTCTCTACAAAAAAAAAAAAAAAAACAAGTGCCTGTGTATATGTGTGTGAGAGAAAGATAGTGTAGAGAGCGAGAGAGAGAGGCACACACAAAAATGGGGAGAGCGCACGCTCGCTCGAAGAAAGCAGCGCACAAAAGCAAATGCTGAAAATGTCAATAAACTCTGCAAAGGTGAGGAAAAACGCAACGCAAGAGTAGCTTGGCAGCGGCAGCGGCAGCGGCAGAGACAGAGGCAGCGTTCTGCTGCCGTGTAAAATGAAACCCAGAGCAACAGCAGCAAAGAAAGCAGCCAACAAGCAAGTGCGCAAAAAAAAAAACGACCCACACTTAGGCATACACACACACATGCATGCGTTAACATTTATAAAGAAAGCGCTCGTACGTGTGATTCTTATTGGATGGCGTTGCAAAAAAATATCTGGTTTTTAGCTTGCAGCTTCCGCGTTTGGCAGCGCGTTGCAACTTCAACAGTTGCCGTTTTGCAGCATTTTGTTTATTTACTTTTTGTCAATTTGCTGCTCGGTCGCTCGTTAACCCAAAACTCACACACACACATACAATCAGCGACACTGAATGATTAATTTACCGTTAATAATTCACAGGTGAAAAAATAAATATATATATAAAAAACAGCGGCATTCATTGTGCAATAATATTATCGTTCGCGTTATTGTGCAAATATTTTTTATAAAACCATTTTTACAACAACAAATGTCTGAATTATATGCATTAAAAATGCATAACATGTGCATAGAAAATTAATTACAGTTTTTAATACAAAAAAAAAAAAATTAAATTAATTAAAATTTACACAAAATGATGTAAACAATTTTTATTGTAAACAACTAAAACAATTTCAAATTAAGCGAGAAATTTAATTCTGACATTTGGGCAACGCGGCAACATTTTAGGGAATATCCAATACAAATCTTATTAGACTGAAAACAAGCACAATTGGAATATTAATTTTAAAATTTTGAATGGTAAGTAAAAAGGAAATACATTTGTTTTTTATAATTTAAGATAATAGGAGTTATTGAAAAGCTGCCGAATAAGTTTTTAAGTTGCTTAAAATGAAAGCGAATTAAGCTGAATGTGTCTTAAAACATTGTAAGATTCATTTCCATATAAATACTATTGCGTTTAGCTTATATATGACAAAGCAAATTTCAAACCTGGGTTTGGGCACGTGTCAAATCGAGTTCACGAACCGAACCTTAAGCCAGGATTTTTTTGGTTGATGCAAATCTGATTTTGTTGCTTTAACCGTGATTCACAGAGATATTCATATCGATAATTAGCAAATGGGAATGACTATAAATTAAAATGTCTAAAAGTAAATGTAAAACTAAATCGGAAAAGGTAAACCGCATAAGAAATATGAAACTCTACTTTCAAATATTATACGATTAATATTTAACTGCGAGTCAATTTGAACTTTCTTGCCAAACAAATGAATCGATTGTCGATATCTTGTGTGTTTCAAAAAGGAAACCTTTTTTGTATATTTTATTATTATTATTAAGATTAACCGTAAAACATTCATATTATAAATAATACTATAACTAATTGCCACAAAAGATCGATAGCGTCCTTCAGCTCTTTTTGTATGTTAGATCAAAAGTGGAGCACTAAAATGAATTGAATGCATGAGATACATTTGTTAGCTTAGCTTTTGGCCTTTAACCAATATTTGCGCACACTTAACGCACTCTGGGCGGGCTCTGGCTGGGCTCGGGTTGGGCTCTGTTCGGGCTCTGGGTCCAACATCCACTTGAGCATTAACCACAAAAGCCTCTCCAGCAGCCAAATGAAAACAATTTAATTAACGCCCAATTGCGAGCGCAGCTCCTACCCGGGCCAGAGCCGAGCGAAGCACTTCACTTGAAGCAGTGAAATGTAACGGCGCCTTTGGTCACTTGAACTACTTTCTTGGGTCTGACTCATGGCTCGGACGGATCGGACGGGTCGGACAGATCCGATGGGATCTGGTGGACTGCGAGTGCGAGTGCGACTGTGGTAACTGCAATTGTGCAGCGCTTGGCCCGGAGGCCACCGGAAATTGTTGCCAACATCAGAGAGCGGGGCGGGCGTGGAGTGGAGTGGAGTCCGGCGCGCAGTTAAGAGAAGCTTTTAACGACGCGGCCCGGACACGTTTTGAACTCTAGCACACGTTGATTCTGTTGCTTGTGGCTCTTGTTCTGCTGTCGCGGCTTTCGGGTCTTTTGCGTCTTTCGCTTGACCCAGAAAAATCAAAGAGTCTCGCGGTCTCTGCCGTAGGTGTATTGTCATAATGATGTTCATAACTGTGATAATGATATTGCTAATGATCTCTGCTTGCTTGGCGATAATGATGTTGCCATCGCATAAACCATTTTAAATGTTGGCTCATTATTATTTTGACTACGTTGGCCCGCTTGCGGTTTTTCGGTTTATTGGCCGTCTGTTGCAGTTGCGCATGCCCTGTAAGCGAAGTGGTGTTCGAAAAGGTTATGATCACAGTAAGAGACTCATTCTAAAATAAAAACTTATGCATACATAAATGCACCAGCTAAAGCTGGAGATAGCAACTTTATTCAAGTGAGAATAGGGTAGGCTGACAGGTAGGGTGAACATGTGGCCTCTATTTTACATGAATATGTGGCCTCTATAATCCCCCTACCTGTCGTGTCATAGCCTTGTCAAATGGACAAAGTTGAAGGTAAAGTTTATACAATTGATTTCATAAATATATTATTTACAAAAAGGTTCTTTAAAGAGTCTCAGATAGAATTCTTTAAAACTTGTGCTGAAAATAATAATTCCAATTTGATTAAATTCTTAGCTCAGGAAAACTTTGAGCAATATACTCTTTCTCATAAATGTATATGGTTTATATTTATTTAGTGAATTAATTTGTTATTTTAGAATTTATTGTAATTAGAATGAATTAAAAATTATGATTTTAAGCTTCGACATTTGCACTAAAAAAGGTTTGAAGACAGCTAACTGGTAATTAAAATAGGTGTAGAACACAATTTTAAATACAAATTTGTAATGTGTAAGTAGGTAAGTTATTGCAAAAGCATAGTATAGGGTATCAACGTGTCGAGCACTCGCGACCTAATCACTCTTACTTGTTTGTAACTGGCTTTATGTGCGGTCTTTGCTTTTATCAGTAAGCGGCAGCGGCAACGGCAGCTTCCTCCTGGCTGCCTCTCTTTCTCTCCTCTCTCCTCTCTATCGCGCGCTCTCTCTCCCTCTCTCTCACTTGGCCAAGGTTGTCGGTGTCGGCGAGTTTTGTAAGTTGATTGGCTCTGCGGTTGGTTTCTTTCTTTTTTATTTGTTGTTGGTGTTTTTTGCCCCATTGGACACGTCCATTGCTTTGTTTATGTTCTTGAACTCTTTTTGAGTGTGTGGCTAAATGCGGCCCCAAATGTTAATTTACAGCTTTTGCTGTCATAACTTAAGCAGCAGCCAGGTGGAAGGCTAACCGCGTGTGGCAGGGAGAGAGAGCAGAGTGTAAGCGGAAAGGCAGCAGAAAATAATTGCAACTGCCGAAATTGAGGAACGATATTTAATGTTATCGTCAGCGAGATCGATAAGTGAAAATAAATGTGGAATTTTGTGGACGGAAACCTAAGCAATTACAATAGTATGGATCAGAAAGAAATGGAGGAGCGATCAAATAGTCACATTTGTAATTATATTGTTATCGACTATGTTATCGATAAATTGTAATCAAGTATAATATAGGTAAGAAGCCAACAAGGATATCCAACGAAATTCTAGAGAGATATTATCGATAAATATAATTATAAAACAGAAATTTAAGTTGTCAAACAGCGATAGTTAAACAGAATGTTATCGATAAACTATGCTGCCAATATTTAAGCTATTAATCGTTGAATCTCTGAGATTGTCTTAAGAATAATTTTGATAGTTTCGCACGTGATATCGATAATTGTTATACAGCTATACCTTTCTGTAAAATTTTGTGCATCCTAATCTTATCGGAAATGTTATCGATAAACCCCTTAAGTGTAGATAGCATGTTATTTAGCTGCAAATATTGAAGCTGTTAAACGTTTAGTCTCTGTTATGCTCTTAAGAATATTAGATTTTAATAATATCGATTGTGCACTAGTTGCGTGTGGTCCGCATTGTTTTCGATAGCATTCTAAAAACCGAGTGTGCATTATGTTGTTTATAATTTGTCAGTGAGCGCCATGTCGAATGACTAATTTGCCTGTTGTTGGTTACAGCAGCAAGAACAACAACAAAAACGACAACAACAACAGCGGCAACATCTTTTGTTTGTGGTTCGCCCATCTGTTAACCGGTTCTCGATATGTCCGCAGGCACATATCGATTGTTACATGCCATTTGGCATCGTTTCGTGGGGCTCTCCCTCGCGTCTATCTAGCTCTCTCTCTGTCTATTTGACTGCTAATTAGCAGTTAACAATTGCAGCATTGACCTCCTCCCATAATTCTTCAGCTGTTGCTGTTGTTGTCGATGTTGTTGTTGTCTTACGAGCAACAGCAACAACATTTCGCTTTGTTCTATTGTCTGAGGCGAGAGATCAAAGCGCAGATACAATAACATGGCAGCAGGTTTACCTTGTTGTAACCTCAGCGAGAAGAAGAAGCAGGCGAAGTCGAAGTCAAAGAAACTTGACTGAGTTGTTGCCGTTGTTGTTGTTGTTGTTGGTTCAGCATTCGCCACAGAGCTGGCAACATTGTTGCCGAACTGCTGCTGCTGCTGCTGCTGTTGCCATTTGGCTGCAACAGTTGTTGCTGCTGCTGTTGACTTTTTGGCCAACATTGAATGGCTTTTTATCGTTTGTTGCCTGCCTTTTTGTGGCTTTTTGTTTGATTTTTGCAACTGCAACTTTGGCAATTGCCATAACTGTTGCTGTTGCCATTGTTGTTGCTGCTGCTGCTGCCGTTGCTCGACACGGCGCCGTGTCTGTTGCCTATGTGTCTGTATAAACATGATCGTTTTGGCCAATTTCTGTGCAACTGCTGCAACTGCTGCCGTTCGTTCTGCAGTTTCCCGCCAACAGCTGCCGTTGCTGTGGCCAACTGCGAAACATGTTGCCCAGCAAAAGTTGCTGCTGCTGCCGTTGCTGCTGCTGCTGCTGCTGTTGACGGGTTGTGTAACAATTGGGAGCATTTTGGACTCCATCTGAGGCTAAGCAGCTCGAATCTAGGAAGTAAACTAAAATGTAAAACATTTTCCCATCCAGTAACAATTATTAAAGAACTGCACTTGAACGTTAATTGTTGCAGGATCAAAGTTTAAAAATCCTTTAACCAAGGTGTCGCAACAATCTTCTCTAAACCAATCTAACTTTCTTTCGTTTGAATTTTCATTAATTCATATTGAATTAATACCCAAGTTGTATCAAATCTATTAAATTGTTAAGGTTTATCATAACAAAAGTCAAGTAAATCTCTCGAATCGAATTGCTTTCAGTTGGGAATTTTAACGTTTTTTATTTAAGATGCTCCGATCAAAAACAAACGCGCCTTTAACTAAACCCCGAATCATTTGTTTTTTCTCTTCTCTCTTTGAACATTATTATTATTAAATTTCCATGGTTTTATTGCAAATTGTGAACATGTGCAGAAATAAGGTTGAAATTGTGATTCATCGTAAATGTGAAAAGCAAGGTTCAGGAATCAAACCGAGGCATTGCTCTGAAACCTAAAACGAACCAAAAGAGTTGCTTGGAATTGCAGTCTTAATAATCGTATTATATTTAAGAAACGTTTATCTTTTTCCCTAATAAATATTGATCCACATGCATTTACAGCATTTGGGAAACTATTCCGATTTCCCTTAAGGTTTATATGCGTTGGTTTTTCTTATTATCGAAAGCTAGTCTCTCATTTTGAAAAGTATATTCATAAAGATTAGAAAATGCTTTTTGAGCTGGAATCAGTGGAAAAGTAATTCAATAATTGCAAAGAAATCATAAGAAGAATTGGCTGGATGG